TCGGGCGCGCCGGGGCCGGGGCTGCCGCGGCCGGGGTGCGGGGGGCAGAGCGGTACTTACTGAAGGGGCAGTTCTCCTTCTTGGTGCCGCTGACCTTGCCGTTCTTCTCAATCTTGAGAAAGTACTTGTTGTAAGAGTAGAGCTTCCTCTTGCGCACGTCTCCTTGGAGGTGATTGTAGCTCCGCACGTGTCTCCCCGCACTGGAAGGAGAGGAGAAGGACGAGGGGAAGGAGGAGGATGATGAAGAAGAAGAGTTGGTGGCCTCCGGGGACAGCATGTCCTGGCCGAGGTCATGGCAGGTGACAGGCACAGAAGACACCAAGAAGAGCAGCAGCAAGCAGCAACAAGGCAGGTGGGAAAAGGCTGAGGCACCATTTGTCAGTATCCATTTGCACATTGTACTGAAACTCTGGGCGCTGGAAAATGTCTTATCAAATGAAACATACTGGAAGGGTAAAACCTGGTAAAAGGCAAGTGGAGAGCCGGTGGTTGCTGCTTCTGGTTAGATCCCTCTGAGCTCTGATCTGGCCTGAAGTAAGTGCACCAACATCCATAACTCAGGGGACAAATCGCCTCAGAAGTTGCTGCCTTTTAATCCTTCGAGTCCTCCCTCAGAAAAAAGAGCTGTTGGTTTTTTTGGGGGGGTTGCTGTGGTTAATCCTTTCCTTTTTCTCTTCCCCACCCCACCCCCCCACATACACACACACTCCCCAACCTGGTTTGAGACTTCCCAGTAGTTACTTTGTTCTCTTCCTCACTCCTTTCTTCACCATCTTAGATGCAGAAAGGTCTGAAAAATAGATGACAGCAAAGTGAACAACAACAACAAAAATAAATAATCACCAGTGGAAAGGGGTGCTGGAAAGGGATTTTTCACGCATACCCCTTTACACACAAATACACACTCACACTTTGTGGCTTTGCACCTTCTTCTGATCCCCACCCCCTCGCTTTTTTTGCAAATCCCAAAACAGTTGCACAACTCGTCCTTTCTCACTGACGACCCCAGAGGAGGCAGTTTCTTTGTTTTGCTTTG